AAAAGATCTTTAAAAAAAGAAAAAAAAGAGAAAAAATGAATGCTATAACAAGTTGGGACAAAGTAATGAGAGTCTTTTTGTGAAAAATGAGATGAAAAATGAAAAGTAGTGAAATAATGTGGAATGGGGCAAAATGCCAAGTTACAAAATGATCTTTTGGTTTTGAACCCTTTAAACACATGTTTTGAGCCTATTTTATCTATTTCTTTCGTGACCCCTCGCAATTGCCTACATTATAATTTTTAAAAATTTATTTGGATCAAATGTGAGTGCTTAAACTGAATGATCATATATTGGGTTAAAGCATGCTCGTGATGAAATGATAGAATTATGCTTCATTGCTCTAAAGATTGATATGAAAGAGATATTCATAATGGGTGAAAGAATGAAGAAAATGAAAAAAAAAAGAAAAAAACAAATGAAAAAAATGAAAGAAGAAAAAGAAAAAAAAAATGAAAAAAGATGAAAGAAGAAAAAGGAATACTCAAATTAAAAACTCGAAAGAGCGATTTGGGTAGACAAATCTCTGAGCTAAAAATTGGATGAACAATTCAAATATATAAAAGATCAAAGCATCTAAAAAGCTAGGGCAAAGTTTGATGAGCTCAAAATGATTTCGACAGTCAATGGAATGAGTTTTTGAAAAAAAATCTTGGATTAATGTTCAAAATTGTCTGAATATACTATTCATCCCAATGACATGCATCCAATTTGTTTCTTTCTCCATTTGTTTTTGTACCAAATTTGTCTTCACTGATTACCTTTCTCCTAATTCACCTAATGCTATTTTATTTTCACATTTCTTGAATGAATCAAGAAAATATATGATTGCATTATCTCTATCATGATTTGAAATGATGATGAATGATTGATAATGTGCATAAAAGATTCTTACATTTCTTTGAAAGAAATCTAAGATGATAAGGTAAAAATGATGAAGAGATGGCATAAACTTGAAAAATGACACATGGGATGGCTAAATGATGAACATGTGGATGGATTGCTTAACAAAATAGAGGGCAAAAATCTAGAAAGATGTGATCCAAAAATGTATATGGTGATAGATTGGCTGACATAACTTATGAGTTGTGGTCAAATTATGAGAATATTATAAGTCAATGGGTGAAATTTATGCTAAAATTACTAGTACTGAAGAGCCTTTGAGTCATGATTAAATGATATGGGGCAATGGATAGAACTTGTCTTGGAATTGTTAGTGTTGAGAGGCTTATGAATGATGATCAAGCGATGAAAATGACAATGATCAATTGATGAAACTTATTCTAGAGTGCTAAGAAGCTAGGGTTGGAAAAGAAATATAAGAGATGATGGAGTCTTAAGGACCATATTACCACGTTTTGATTAGAATTTCATGACATTGACATCCATATTACATGCATTACGTTTGTATTGCTGTTTGGAGATTGTTTGAAACTTCAATTTGGATATGCATTTGCATCAGCCAGTAAGCATTTGGATTATGGCTTAGAATATGGCATTATGAGAATCTAGGTTGTTGCATTTATATCATTGATCATGACATTTAGTACACATAAAATTTTGACTTTGGTGAAGGTTTGAAGCTCATTTGAAAAAAAGTTTTGAATATCAAATAAGAATCTTTAAATCTTTGAGGTGTGAAACCCAAAATTTATCGAATGTGAATCTTCGAACTCAAATGAGAATCTTTAAGATGTTTTTAAATGAGAATCTTTGAGGTGTGAAGCCCAAAATTTATCGAATGTAAATCTTCGAACTCAAATGAGAATCTTTAAGATGTTTTTAAATGAGAATCTTTGATATATGAAACCCTAAAGTTCATTGAATGTGAATCTTCAAACTAGAATGAGAATCTTTGAACTTTTGGATGTGAATATCTAAAATTCAAACAAAAAGCTTTGAACTCAATTTTTGGATGCAAATCTCTAAATTTTTGAGTGAGATCTTTTGAACTTTGATGTGAAACTCTAAGTTTTATTGCATGTGAGCCTTTAAACTTGAATGAGAAGTTTAAAACTTTTGGATGTGAATCTCCAAAATTCAAATGAGACTCTTTAAATATGGATGCGAGTCTCATAATTTGCGAATGTGAATCTTAAAATCTTGCAAATTTGAATTCTTGTGAAACCAAAATTTTAAGAATCAAATTTCAGTGAATTCTTGTAAAGTTGAAAGGTTTTTGCGAATTTGAACCTTTGACTTTTGAACTCAAATTACGAATCTTTGAGTTTTCATTACAAATTTCATCATATATGATTTATGATTCATTTGGTCATGATTGATAAGGAGCAATTTATTTTTTCAAAAGTCGTGGTTGCCTCTGTTTGGAGGAGCAATTTATTTTTCAAAAATGGTAGTGCCTCTGTTTAGAGGAGCAATTTATTTTTCAAAAGTTTTAGTGCCTTTGTTTAGAGGAGCAATTTATTTTTCAAAGTTGTGGTGCCTCTGTTTAGAGGAGCTTTATTTATTTTTTCAAAGTCGTTAAGCCTCTGATTAGATGAGCTTTGTTTATTTTTCAAAGTCGGTGAGCTTCTGCTTATAGGAGCTTTGTTTATTTTTCAAAAATCGTTGAGCCTTTGTTTATATGAGCTTTGTTTACTTTTCAAAAGTCATTGAGCCTCTAATTAAATGAGCCTTATTTATTTTTTTCAAAGTCGTTGAGCCTCTGATTAGAGAAGCTTTGATCAAGATTTTAATAAAAAAAAAAACAAAAAGTGTCGAGTTGAGTCTTGAATGGGTATCTACGTCTTTACATAATTCATGTTTCATAGAAAATAGGCAAAGAGGGGCGACTGTAGATACCTAATTTGATTCAAGCTCGGATCAATTGGGCCTGACCTAAATAGGCAAGATGGCCCATTTTTTTACTTTTATTATTTATTTTTATTATTTACTGTTATATTATTATTTATATTACTATTATTATTATTTTTATTTTATCTTTTCTTGATTAATTAAATGATAATGATTAGATTAATTAAAAATAATCCAAAAAAAATGGTGAAAGTGGATTTGGACGTGAATTTGGAAGTTGACAGAGTTAGGATTGGATTCAAAGTTTGAATCTCAATCCCAAATGAAATTGGGATTGATCAAAAACTTTTCTGATCAATCCCTATAAATAAATGATGAAACACATAAAGAAAAAGACAACAAAAAGGTGAAACAGAAGCAAAAAGTGTTTAGAGGCAGTTTAGAATTTTTAGAAAATTTTTTTGAATTTTTTTGAGTTTTTTTTTGGAAATTTTTGAAAATTTTCATATTTTGAGCAATTTTTTGGGTCAAATTCAAGTTTTTTGATGACTTTTTCGACGAAATACCCAATTTTTGAAGGAAAAACTCAAAAATCGATGAGAATCATGTCGGTGTTCTTTATGGGTAGAGAGAGAGGGAGAGAAAACTGAGAGGAAGAGAGAGGAATGAGAGAAGAATCTGATAAAAAAATGATTTTTTACCTTTTATACTTGTTTAAAACGAAGTTGTTTTGACATTAAATCAACCCGGAGAATCTGCACATTTTTGTTTGGCTCGACCTGATCCGAGTGCCAATCCGTTTTTGACCCAAGTGCCAGCCGACCCTTGGAGCAGAGCACTCTTGAGCCGCACCTTCGAACTATTTTTCTTCCTAGAGCCAAGCCGATTCCAGCCGTTGAACCGAGCCATCTTACGGTTTTTTTTCTTTTTTCTTTTCATTTATTTATTTATTATTATTATTATTATTGTTATTGTTGTTGTTGTTGTTGTTATCTCTAAATTAGAATTATTTGGTATTCTTTAAATTTTTTAAATTTTAAATTTAAAATTTAATTTAATTTAATTTTTTTAATGATTTTCCTAAAATAAAATTTCCAAAAAATAAAAAAATATTTTTGAGAAAAAGTTGAAAGTATCAATTTTCCTTGAAAATAAAATTTAAGGAAAAAATATTTTGAAGGAAAGTTGAATGTATCAATTTTTCTGAAAATAAAAAGGTTAAAAAATATATTTTTAGGAAAAAGTTGAAAGTATTAATTTTTTTAAAAAATAAAATTTCTAAAATAAAAATTATCAAGAAAAATATTTTGAGGAAAAGTTGAAAGTATTAATTTTTCTTGAAATTGAAACTTAAAAAAAAAATATTTTGAGGAAAAGTTGAAAGTATCAATTTTCTTTAAAATTAAAATTTCAGAAAAAAAAACATTTTGAGAAAAAGTTGGAAGTACCAATTTTCCTTAAAAATAAAAATTATCAAGAAAAATATTTTAAGGAAAAGTTGAAAGTATCAATTTTTTTGTACAAAAGCAATGAGTTTTTTTTTATGAAAAGAAAATGATTTATATCAAAAGTTGAATCATTATTTTTTTTTTCTTAAATTTTTTTTAATGTTAAATAATTCGACGATGAAGTGTTTGCATGTGAAACAATAGTTTGCTTGTATACTTTTGAGGTATTGAAATTTTTTTAATTTTTGCCAAAAGTATTGGAGTTAATTAAGAATAATTTTAAATTATTAATTACTTGATAAATTTTTTAAGGCTTATTGCATAACACGAATTGAGCTGGTACCATCTTTCAATGGGCGTTGTGAGGGTGCTATAACTTTCCTCACTCGTAACTGAACTTCAGAACTATGTTTTAGTTAATAGACCCGAATCTATTCTTTTAGGGACCCTTAAGCTTAGGTGTTCCATAAAAGGATAGATTCTTAAGTGACCAATCGTATCTAAACAAAAAAAATCGATGACGACTTCTCAAGCCAATGTCTAGCGATAGATCTTCGGATCTAAACTTTATGATAACTATTTCATGAACAGCTACTCCATGAATGAGTTGTTCCATGAATAGTTGTTCTATAAACAACGTTTGTAGAAACAACTTTGTTACTTGTTTTGAATTACCTTTACCATATATATGATGATATGATTCTTGTAAAATAATTTTAGAGAAACTTAAAAGAGATAAAACATTAGCAACCAAAATCAAGTATCTCCAACTACATAAGGGGAAAGAAAGCACATCAATACTGACCACCCGAGGTAGATATATTCTATAGGAAAGCTGTTTTTATTACAGTATCAGAATCACAGAATGTGGAAGTATAATTAAACATCAATATCAACAATGGAATACTGTAGTCTCAGCACTTTTGCTGGGGTAGTTCACAGGTGCATCAAACTTGCTGAAAAGCCTATAGGAAGAGATCAGTGACAGAACTGCATAGCAAATTACTACAACGAATGTGATGATTACTGATGTTGTTGCTTTATAACAGAAACAGGCAAATGTCCCACAAGCTGCACTCCAAGTGATAGCTGCATCTCCTTTGTTGCCCAGGTAAAGCACCTCGGTTGACACAGCACCAGCAGCCAGAATTATGTAAGTTAGAATCTGGAAATCAAAACAGATTAAAATTATGATGCTGAATTGCTGATTACTCTAGCCTGATCAGTAATTGATGACCGAATATGGTTTACTAGAAGTTTAATTGACCTGATCTAGGAGGAAGAAAGTCCAAGCTCGAGGCATTGTGGAGGGACGAGGCATGGCCGCAATAATTGCTGAAAGAAGGGAATAGCCTGCACATATGCCATTTGCATGCACCAAATACCTGTAAGGTGCAAAACCAGTTAACGATCGATGCCAAAGTTAAGGAATTAGGAACAGTTCCAGTGTTCTGTCTATTTCTAGAATGTTGGAAAATCCAACTTTAGCTTTTGTTTCCGTTTTCATTTTTTATTTGAGAAAAGGCAGATTCAAACTTAGCTCTTTGAACAAGAGAACATACATGCAGCTACAATTGATTAAAAAAAAAAAAAAGAATGATTGATCAACTAGTAAATAACAAAGTAGATGAATAGAATTAGTACCTGAATGCTCCAAGATCTGAGTAGGAAACAGAGCCAAACTCATTGGATTGAGAATTCTTGAGCATGACAACAAGTGCAGCAATACCTAAAGCCATTGGCACCAAGCGCAGCATGGTTTCAGCAGTTCGCATGCTGGTATTCACCTCTTCATTTTCACATCTTAACCACCCCCTCAATCCCATTGGGGACTTTGAAGCAGCAGCTAATCCATTTCCCTTTTCACTCTTCTCCATCCGATCTCTCGATTCTTCCTTCTCCTAATTTCCTTCTTTGTGTGAGAAATATGTAGACGTCAGTGCGTGAATACTTATTAATGGATTTAGGTAAGGTAGATGGTAAAATCGCTGAATGGCATTCAAGGCATGGCCACACTTTCCTAAGTGCATTGGATAAACCACCTTTCTCTCTCACTTTCCTGGAAAAATCATTGAATTGCATTCAAGGTTTGGTGTTGTTATCAAATTTGCATATTCATCTCCTTATCTGTGTCACACACAAATTTTTAAATTAATGCATAATTTTTTTTTTTAACAAATGATATCGTAACCAGAAATACGAAAAAGGATTAAAAATATTGAAATTTGATTCATAAATTTACTTAATATCATATCTTCAAAGTGATTGTAGGAATCAATTAAGTTAAAACATAGTATTCAATTAATGCATAATTTCTTTTACCCTCCACCAGCGCTTGTGTCAATTATAAGCACTAAATTCAATAGCTTCTGTTGGCCAAAAAAAATTCAATAGCTTCTTAACTTTCAAGTTCTTATCAACTAAATAGAATTGAATTTGGCATTGCTTTCTTCAAAACTATAGCATTCACCCTTTTTCTTATTTGGGGATCATTGATAGAAAACTCTTCTGTAATTTTGCATGGATCCTATTCAACCATCACATATAAATGTGAATTTAAATTAAAAAAAAGGATATAGTATGCCTTTACAACTACTATACTTAAATAAAACCTGGTGTTAAAGTTTTAACTAGTAACTTCCCAATTCAATAAAAACTGTCTACATCCTATTTTGCACCACTTCCTTTGTTTTGGTGTGGTTAATTGGTTTCGATTAAGGTTTCTGTAAGTCAGTTTCTGAGCACCCGGATAAGAGAAGAGCATCCACTGGTCTTGGCAACCATTTGATGGTTTGTAACTTGCTGAAATGTGTTCCAACAAGGCAACAAGGTTTTCTGAAATTTTGGACATAAATTATTGTTAGACTACCCTAAGTCTACACTGATTGAGAACAAGTTCTTCAGCGTTAGTCATCCTCAACATCTATATCTTTCATTTCCTCTCAATCTCTACCAATTAATTTCATTGCTGATGCATACTGATATGAGGACCATATTTCAATCTAGATTCCATGCCCAAGTAAATGAGCCTCTGCTTTCTACCAATTGCTTCTAAAGATGGATCAAACTACTAGTCCATATAATTTTGCCATTTGCCATAAGTTTCACCACCTCCACCGCATCATATTCCTTGGTAGTTTCTCAGTTCATCAGAGTCTTTCTCTGTAAATTGATGCTCATGTTACTCGTACTCCTAACTTTTATCCTGATACTCGTTTTACACAACTCTTCATTTTACCTCAATACATGTTCCAAACTTCTGGAATACTTTAAATTTATGAGTATGAGCTTAGATCCCTTAAAATCAATGTAACAATTTTTCCTAAAAGCACAACATACCTGTTTCAGCCACTTACCGGAGTCTAACAGACATCTGATCCACAATCCATGTAACATAGATCACGGTAATGCTTTCTGTTCACTTGAGTATCTATTTTCACCTTGCCTTTCCTAATTAAATCTGATAGTATGAATTTCCCTGCTTCATTATTAATTATAGTATGCTTTCTGTTCACAGACTAACCGTCCATAATATCAAAATAATCCAATTAGATCCATTTAACCCCAAAAACACCCTTAGTTCTCCTGAATTAAGCAATCTTAATATTAGACAAACTTCATACATTTAAATTAAAAGTATCAACTCCAATTCCAATAATAACCAAAACAAAAAGGCTCCAAAAACAATTCTCAAAAAGAATACAAAACAGAAAAAAAGAAAGAAAATAATTCAAACTCAAACAACAAGTTGAATATCACCCAAATCAAGCTGAGCAGTAATTTACTCCAACTGTTTCTTAGCACTCGTATCAATCAATTTTGACCCTGAACTACCATACCTGATAGTAAACCCAGCTACCAAACTCGGGTCAATCACAGTTTTAATTCTAACATTCTTCGCACCAGTTAGCTTCTGCACCTGTTTAGCAATCTGTACCAAATGCTGGGACTCCAACTTCACCACTGAACTCACCACTGCCAACTCCGTATCCGTCATCTTATTATAAACCATCTCAAACTCTTTAACAATTTCCTTAATAAGGTCAATCCTCTTGCAATCCACCAGGATGTTTAAAAAGATAACGGTGTGAGGTTGAAGCACGGAAGACTTGACTATTTCATCTAAAATCAAACGTTCTTTGAGAATGTCGATGGTGGGGTTGGCAAAGAATTCGAGGATTTGAGGGTCAGAGAAGATGTTTTCTACTTTTCGACGTCGGAGCTGGTGGCATCCAGGGTGTTGTTGGACTTGGTTACATCAGCTAAAGCTGAAGCGTAACTGGAAGCAGCTGTAGCTGACATTTTGGTTCCTGGAGAGGGCGAATGGTGGAGAGTTTAAGGGAAGGGAAGGTGGCTGAGAAAGAGAGGTTGAGAGAGGGAAGGGCTCTCGGAAGTTCGGAAGATGGGAAGAGCTTGAATTGAAGAGATATTGAAGTATGCTGAAGAGAAGCCATCGGCAGTTTGGGTTTGTTCTGCCTTGGCCCCTGGCAGAATAGGGTGGGAAGTGTTGTGATGTAAGGGAAATTTGGAGAGTAAAACTTGTGAGAATAACGGGTTACCTTGGACTGAAGAAGCAGAGCCGCTCATTGGATGTGGTCCACAAATATTTAGCAGCCTATTAATTGATAAACGTACAACTGCTGCTACTACTAAATGCGAAACAAATGATAACATGGAAAGTTTTTAATAAACAAAATTTGAAACAAGTGATTGTTCATTTTGCAATTCAGTTTTCATTTTTTATAATAGATAAAAGATATTCTCAAATTTTATTTAAATTTAACTCTTGCAAGAATTACAGTTTCATTCTCTTGTGAAGGAGCCAAGGACAGCCAAGTTGAGAAAGAATTTAAAACAAGAATAAGTGTAAAAAGAATAACAGACAATAAAACATAGGAACTATATTATTTGCTTTACTTTTTAATAACTCCTACTTTCAAAACACAATCCCAAGCACAGCAAAGTGCTTAAACTATCTTTCAGAACAGGAAAAATAACATTCAACCCCAACAACACAGGACAACCAGGCACAACAAAGTACCCATTTATTTTCAAAACATAAAAATATGATAACTAAAAGTAGAATATTTTTCCTACACATAAAAAGAAACAGTACTCCTGCATAGTCCCTCCACAATTTACTCAATTCCCAAGAATTTCTTCATCTGCAAAACAAAGCCATAGACCTTTTCTTGGTCAGGAAGAGACTTGGATACACTCTCCTTTTGCAGGCACCTTTTAGCCCATGCAATCAGCTTGGGACACTCTGCCTCAATGCCGACGTTTCCACACTTCTCATAGGTATAAAACCAGCTATAAAATGGAACGAGAACAACATCTACATAACCAAGATTTTCTCCACCAAAGTAAGGCTTATCTCCAAGTTCTACTTCCAACAGCTTAAGGCACTCGACAAATTCTTTCTTTGCTGCTTCCTGTTCTTCTCCCTTAGTTGTCCATATTTTCCTCCCAAGATCATAAATCTGCATTTTCATTAAACAACGTTTTAGGCACAACAGGGTATCAATTAATAAAGACTAAAATATTTAATAAGACAAATCATACTGATTTCAACTTTACAAGTTTAAGTCAAGAGACAACAAGAGGGGAATAAACAAGTGGAAATATAACAATAAAACATCAACAGAATGATTACGTTCCCTCTAAATAGTCGAAGGTAATAAAAAAATAATCATTTCATCCTGTCTCTATTGGTAATTGGAGGAATCGAAATTATAAGCAGTGTTTATAGTAACAGTAATCATGAAATATTCAAAGTCAGTCTGACCAAATCAAGAAAAGTTATAATTTTAAAAAAATAATAAAAAACAAAGAAAAGAAAGAACCTTCTTGTCAACAAAATCAGCCCAAAATCTAGCAATAGCTTTTCGGTAAGGATCAGAAGGAAGCAAGGGAGATTTATCATTCCAAGTCTCATCAATGTACTGAATCTGAATGAGTGATTCAGAAACAGGTTTACCATTGTGAATAAGGACAGGGATTTTTTTATGAATAGGATTCATGTGCAACAGCAAAGCACTCTTGTTCCTCAAATCTTCTTCCTTGTACTCATATTTTATCCCTTTCTCAGTCAAAGCAACCCTCACTCTCATCCCAAATGGGCTTGGCCAGAAATCCAACAAAACCACCTCTTCTGCCATTCTGATAAACTAAACAAAACAAAGATTCAAAATCAACTGAAAACTATAGCTGAGACCCGCTTTGGTTTAAATTTTTTTTATGTCTGACCTGAAGCGTAGGTTGGGTGAATTTATAGACCAAAAAGTTTGAAGTTGTTGGGTTATTTTTTCCACACTAATAAAGTTTTGTTCTAGGACCTTCTTTAACTTAAGTGATATTCATATACTTTATTTCTTTTAATGAAGTGGCTTTCATGTACTTTATGCCATTGCTTACGGCACTAGTCTATAAATTACTATTTTAACTTTTTCAAATGTTCACTGACAGTTTTTCTTTTTAAGATAATGTATGGCTTATTGGCATGTAATTGCTTGCGTCATCATCAATTTTCGCTCATCCATTACGTCTTTCATTAGTTTTTTGTTTTTTATATTCTTGGATCCCAAGAAAGGTTTTTTTTTCTTCCTTAATTTTTTAAAATTTTATCTATTATATTTTATATTTATTCATCATTGTTTATGTATTTTTAAAACTAATTAAATTATTAATTTTAAGTAATATACTAATTAATTTGATAAACTTTAGTATATTTGAAAAAATATAATAATTTTTTTTAAAAATATCAATCTAATTCATTCAAAATTTTACTTTTAAAATATTTTTCATGAAAATTAATTCATAATTGACAAAAAAAAAATAACGTTTTTCTTATCAGTTGGATATTAATTTTTATGGATTTGAAACATCTTAAAATAAAAAGTTGGATATTCAAATTAAAACGGGAGCAGTAATAAAAGTATCATGTGATGATAATGGGAGGAAAAGGCAGTAACAAAAAGGATGAAAAGGAAGCTAAGCTGGTAATTAAGCTAAGAATTGAGCCAACAGCTGCTGAATTTGGAGCTACAGTGACGCCAGAGAAGGTGGCAATGAAGATGCAACGAGAATTGGGGTGCGATGGTTGAAGTTGACTTGGAAGTTACTGATTGAGCCATATTTGTTTGTGATTCTTCTGTGTTGTGCTGTTAAGCATTTTGTTATAGCAGCCGTCCATTTATTTTGCCAGCATTTTTACAATTCTGTTATATTCCATTAAGCATGTGCTGTGCTATATATAAGAAACGAGAATGTAACAGTCAGGCTTAGGAATGAAAAATTACAAAATTCTGCCTTCTCTTGTTTCTTCTTCTCGTTTCATCTCTCTCTTTTCTGGTCTAATCTTCTTATTCTTCTTCTTACCTCCATTACTCTGGTTCATCAAGTCACAATCATTTTGTGACATATTATTTATAACAACTTGAATTATTTGACAAAAAAAATTCGATAGTAATAATGAACGTGGTTTTCTTTTAAACCACAATAAACATAAAGAAAATGAAGGGAAAAGGACGGAGCATGCAGCAGGTGATCGAGAGAATCAAACAGAAGAATCAGCTTCCAAAAGTTTAATTTGGATACGATTATCTTACGTACAAAATTTGGAAGAATCAGCTTCCAAGTTGTGACCTAATCTCAATTAATTATGGGATATATTCAAATTTGGATTTGCCAATTCAAAAGAGGGTGAACAGATAGTTAATTATAATGATCATAATTATTGAAACTTGGTTTCTTTTCACTCTTCTTTTGTATTTTGTTTTCGATGATCATTACATGTGCGGCAGTCCTATGGCTCAAAGGAGATCTGTTATCTGTTAGGCTGAGGGAAGCAACTAGGAGTGTACTTACATAGGAAGTCAGTGACATGGTTGAGTTGTCCAAAGGAATGAGTTTACAGTAGGCAAGTTTCTATATATAGCGGTTAAAAAGCAAAACAATTTTGATCATATCGTTTACTACAAGGTCGACTTTTAACCTCTTTTCTTCATTAATTCTGATAAATGTTTGTATGGACAATGTAACAATTTTGATCATATGTTAAGTTTGATTATGATCAGTGGCTTGAGCTTGTTTTACTAATTCATATGCCCAGGATAAAAAAAAAAAAAAAACATTAAGCTATTTTTATTATTTAACAACTTTTATTGAAATACAACAAAATAACAAACCCCCATATTTATTGAAAGGCCTAAAAGGCTTTTAGTAAAGGGAAAAGGGTAAACCACCTTATTTTCCCTCAAATTTCTTCTTAAGCTCCATGAGGAAGCAATAAATTTTATGTCGGTCGACTTGGACACACTCTCCCTTTCCATGCATCTTTTAGCCCATGCAACCAGCTTCGGGTACTCTGCTGCAATGCTCAAGTTCCCACAGGTCTCCAATAGAAGGGAATCAATGCCACGTCTGTAAACCCAAAGCTCTCACCTCCAAAATAAGACTTGTCTCCCAGCTCTCCTTCCAGCAACTTGAAGCACCCAATTAGCTCTTTCTTTGCAGCTTCCTGACCTCACCTGTTGCTCCCCATACTAACTTCCCGCTGCTAAATATCTGCAAATTTTCATATTTAATGGTGAAACTTCTCAACTAGGTTAAAAGAAAAAAAAAAGTTTTTGTTAAAAAAATCAATCAACCTACAAAGATAGCTAATAAGTTGTTAATGATAAGTAATGACAACAGCTAATAAGTTGTTAATGATAAGTAATGACAATGGTAGGAGCAGCAGAAGCTTGTAACCTTTTTGTCAACAAAGTCAGCCCAGAAGATGAGAAGGGAGCAGAGGAGACTTGTTTCTTCAAACCACATCAATGTATTGAACTATAATGAGGGATTCACAAACAGGTCTCCCCTTGTGTATCAACACTGGATTTTGCTTGTGAACAGGATTCATCTTCAGAAGTAAAGAACTTTTGTTGCTCAAATCCTCTTCCTTTGATTCATACTCTATTCCTTTCTCCGCCAATGTAATTTTCACCCTCACTGCGAATGGGCTTGGCCAAGAGTGCAATAGGATAATTTCATCTGCCATTGTTTTTCTGTTTGCTGTATTTTCAAGCTGTGGTAAAACAAGTGAAGATGTCTCTTCTTGTGTAACCCAAATGAGACGGCGAGTGAATATTGTAGAATTCTCCTTTGATACATTTACAGGGCATTCTAGGGCTTCTTTTGGACTTATCAGACCCTGCGTCAGATTACTTAAATTCTTCCTTTAACACTATGTTTGGACAAGGAAGGCAAGGGAAAAGAAAGGAAAATAATAGAAACAGAAAAAACTTTTATTTGTTTGGATAAATTTTTAATTTAAAAAAAAAAAGAGGTGAAAACTCAATAATTTTTGTTTCTTTTGTAATCTTCACTCTTTTAATACCTTAATTTGGGGAAAAAAAACTAAGGAAAAGAAAATTGAAAAAATTTTATTTTTATAAAAAAACTATTATATCAATATTTTTATTATGATATTGAATTTGATTATATAACTGACACTTTCTACCAAAATAATTTCTTTTTATGAGTATTTTATATAATAGCATAATTTATAAATATTTTATGATTTTTTAAATCTTAACAACAAAACAAGTTAAATTATTGTCAAAATAAATTAAAAAGTTGAATTAAACACAAAATTAAGAGTAAATCAATAACTAGCTAATACATCTTACTATATTAAAGATACTCAATTTTATTTAGAAAAATTTGTTTATACAAGTTAGGTAATATAAAGATATATTTGCATATTATATGTTATTTTATAAGAAAAAGTTTATAATTGAACAAATAATATTATAATGAATTATTTCCTTTCCTTTTCACTATTTATCCAAACAATGGTTATTAAAATTATTTTACTTTTCTTTCCTTTATTAATTTTAACTATCTAAATAAGGGGTACATGTATATTTTCATTTCCTTTAAAAAACATTACTTTTCTTTCCTTTTCTTTCCTTTATATATATATATATATATTTATATATATACAAACATAACGTAAGGTTACTGCTATTTATCTTTATCCTTTTGGGACTATGAGTTACATCATGGCTTTGGTGGTTAAGCCACATACCAGTTCTTGTTGTCACTAAATGTCCATGCCACAATTGGTTGCACTTCAATTTTTTTTTTTTTTTTGGTTTCATTTTTCTCTTCTTATAAACAATAAAATAGTATTACAAGTTGTTTTCTTTTGTTTTTTTTTTTTTTAAAGGATAAGGTTAACATTAAGAAGCTGCTCACTTTTTTTTCAGGAAGAAATTACTCATATGGGTTTTGACAATTTTATCCAATTAATATGGTTGAGGTCTACTCTTTTGAAATATAGCCTGGAAAGCTAATTCCACTTATGCAATGTTCAAATTATCCAATGCTTCTCACTTATAGGATAAAGTAGCATTAATCATCCACTTGTGTGATTGTAGATATATAATTTTGTTCAAAATATTTTCACTTTAATCCAAACCCAAGTTTGACAACTGGGCCATAATAATAATTTTCAAGCCCATTACATGATCTATTTTTAAATACTCAAGGATGAGACCAAATAGAGGCTCCATGGTGAGCCCATTATATTGGCCCGAATGAATGTCAAATTGGCCTAATAAAAAAGCTTGATAAAAGATTTATCCTTAAAACCCATTAATAACCCATTATTAGCCATTAAGAAAAATAAACACACAAATAAAATAATAGTAATAATAATAAATAATAAATAATAAAATAAAAAAGTTAAGTTAAAATATCAAAAATAAGAAAAATAATAAGCCAAATAAAAATGATGAAGTCCAAATAACATAAAGTCCTATTTGGCCTTGTTAAAGCTTGATTAAAATAACTAAGCCCATATGAAATAAGAAAGAAAGAAAAGCCCAAGCATTTGGCTTAGCCTTACATGCATGAAGCCAAAAAAAACCAACAAAAAATATAAAAAAAATTGGTTGACTTGAAAAACGACAAAGGGAAAAATGCATAGTTTCATGACCTGGTACATGGAGGCATTTGGTGGAAGAAAAAAATTAAAAAATAAAAAAAAAGGAAAGAGGCCATTCAGGGTTAGGGAAAGCAGATAAAAAAAAAAGGCATGGCTTGAATGGTAGAAAAGAGGAAGAAGTAGAACAAATAAAAGAGAAATTGTAGCAAAAACTGTATGAAGGCATGCTAGAAAAGAAAGAAAAATTGAATAAAAAAATTAGGCACCAGACATGAAAAAGAAATTGGCAAAAAAAGAAGTTAGTGAAAAAAAAAAGAGAAGCTACTGCTAAAACGAAAGAAGATGAAAACAAAAGAAATTAGGTGCAAGAAAGCAAAAGAAAACGGGTGGTCTGGGCATGAACTGGGCAATGTGGAGTAAAATAT